GTCATAGTTTTTTACTTTCTTAATTAAATATATTTTACTTTTTTACACATACCGTAAGTAAGTTTCTTATATCACGTAAAAGCTAATAATTAAATAAATAAATATGATATAAATTATTAAAGTCACTTTCAATGCAGTTACTCTTTTCAATGTTCGCGTTAATTTTATGGTAACATATGGCTGTCGGTATTATTGGTAACCGCGTCGGTATGTATCATCGGTAACCGTGCCGGTACATATAGATTAAATTTCGGGCCGCTGGCGCGTGCTAGTAGGAGGCAGCCGGAGGAGAACTACTTCTCCTCATGGCGCACGATATGGTGCTCCGCACTGTACATATTATTAAATTATATTGTCATTTAACACCAAATGAGCAAGTTTCTCCGCTTTTATTTCAAACACTTCCTCCTGAGCCCACGCTTCTCCGTGTAATTATTCGAAAAACTGAGCTGCTGAAAGAGTGCCGTCACGTCCTTGAAAAAAAGAAGTAATTATTGCAACTCGAGTTCTGTTGAGAACGGTGTGAAGTCACGCCTGGCGCCCGACTATTGAGATTCGGTAAGTAATTCTTTTTCTTTTGATTTTCGCTGCCAAGAACGTGCCGAAGTTAGACGGCACCATCGCTAGAAAATCTTGTAGCGAAGGGCCCGTCGCAGTATATATACACACTCATACATGGACACACATGTGTAGCTGTCTATTTATGTGTGTTGTATATTAATATTATTATTCATATTATTATTATTAATATTATTATTTTTTTTTTAGAGTACATTTTTATTTCTATTGCTTCTATAATATATATATTTTTTAACTTAGTTCCCTTTTCTCTCTCCTTTTTTTCTTCTTTTTTTTCTTACAACTAACTTATTACTTATTTTATGCTAGAAGGTAAGGGAAAGGAACATGGTGAGTTAAATTTTATAAAGAAAAGTTTTTATTGTTCCGCACCATGGTACAAACTTACTAACTATGGCTTAGGTACTAATGCACGTTTTACTAATTTATTATCTTACTTTTATATAATAGTATTAATGTTAGTAATAGTGTATATAATTGGAGTTAGTAAAAAAATGATATGTATATATATATTATATTACGTATTATATGAAGCATTATATTGAGTATTATAAGATACAATAAGTATAATATTAATATTTTATATCTTGTAGTCCCGGTCGGGCTTCGGTATTGACTGCAGGCCAAAAGTATTCACAGTCGAGGTCTTCTAGCAATTTTCGCGGGTTCGCACTGTGTCCATTCCCCCAGATGACCGAGATCTACGTACGCTCCTATTCCATCCTCCGTGGATCTTTGGATCTTTATAGTGGCTCGGTGGTCCTCGCTCAGGAATTTTACCAAGTGTATGTCATCACTGCGCCACTTCTGACCTCCGCCAAACGGCAAAATGTTGGTTAAACTGTATGGTATGGCCTCCCACGTGCGATTCTCCGTGGCGAATTGTTCCGGCAGCCGGAACACAGTTCTCACCTTCTTGGTTATTCGGGTCCCCCAATCTCTTTAGGCAATCCTCACATCGTCGTCGTGGATCACGTGAGTTATTTCACTTCGCTGCCACCTCTTAGTTGTTTGTACGGCAACCAACGCACCGACATATACGCAGTTTGGCCACATGATTAGTGGCCCTCGACGGTGCTTCATCCACCAGTCGAGTTTCTCCAACATCTCCTTAAAGCTCTTCTTTCCGTTGATGAGGTGGATCCAAATTCTAGAGGGCGACTCCACTCTCAGAATCCTGGCTTTCAGTGGTGCACGTGTCAATGCTTTGGTGTCAATGTTTTTGATGCTCATTCTTCTTCTTCTTTGCTTCTATGGCTCACGCCCCTGCGAGAGAGGAGCAAACGCCAGTCTACTGATATACATTCTCAGAACGAATGTGGGGGGGGGATGTGCAGTTTTTACTTACTACCACGCGATACACGGCCGTCTTTCACAGGGGGCGTGCCCATCTGTGTCGGGCTCGTGCTCAAGATGGTATGACTACAATCGCCTTGTGGGAGGGAAATTAATTCGGGATTACACCCGAATTAATTATTGGAGGCCCGATTCAGTTCGCCAATCAACCGATAAACTCGGTTGAAAGAGACCGGCCCGGAAAAAATCCTTAGGTGGTGAGCGGATTCGAACTCGGGACCTCCAGGTTCGCAGCCCCTGCACTCAGGCCGCGAGACCACTGGGCCGGTCTTTTTGATGCTCATCTTGAGTGCTTCTTACAAAGAGTACTCACTACGACTTTTCGTTGGAGAATGTCTCTGGCACGCACTATTTTCGGAGGTTCTCCGGCAGCCCACGCTCTCTTTGCTGGTTCGCACAACAGTGTCTCTCGAGTCTTGCGGCGTTCGGCTTCCGCGTTCCGCTAGATCCCCTGCGTACGCTAATCAGCCAATCAGGTGGCGCGTCGCGTGGCGCGGTGATCGATCGCCACTCGCGTAGATCCGCGCTGTCCTTCCAAGGGCGACTGTAGAGCCGCGTCGGGCCCTTACCGCCCGATTCCTGTGGAAGATTCCGCAGCTTTCTAAGGCGTATCCTCCATCTCGGGTCGGCGGGTCGTACACGCTCATCGGATCCCGACAACGTCGTAAGTGTCAGGATGGCGCCTTTTCCGACCGCCCTCTCCGAGACAACCGGTCATTCCTCGCCCCTTGACCGCTCGACTCGTACGCTCCTGTCTCTTGACTGTTCGCTCTGTTTCTTCTCTCTTCTTCCCGTGAGACTGATTGCTAATTAGCTCTTCTCCCTCGGATCGCTGTAACTGACGGGACGACACACACACAAAACAATTAGCCGCACCGCGGCTCGCTTTACAGAAATGAATAAAAAAATACAACACAAAAGATCGTAATCGCGGGCGCGTGATCAGCGCGCGTTTCGCTCGGCAGCTGCCTCGATATTAGAAAACCGGCGTCCTTCGAGACGCCACGCAATATAAGATAGGTCGCTCTCTCTAAGTAAGGAGAGACGCGGGCCTNCCGCCCTCCGTGCGGCCGTATTAATTACCCTGTGACGGACACCGAAAAGGTGTCACGTCACAGTATATAGACGTATTGTATATAACAGGGGTCGGCAAAAAACGCTGAAAATGGGCACGGGCGCCCGCGAACGCCCGCGATTGCCCGGCCTTTACGCACGCATATTATGATCAACACTTCGACTATATAAATATGGACTGCTAGTCGGGAGATCTGACCGTAGACGACATTGAACAGCGCACTCTGAGTTTGGGCCAATAACTAATAGGTCGTCACGTGGTCCTTGCCAGTGTCACCAGTATTATATATATATATATATATATAAGTCGCGTTGCAT